AGAAAGACACATCAACCAGTTGCCTCTGGCACACCCCTGGACAGGATCGAGCCTACAACCGAGGTACATGCCCCCAACCGTAATCGAACCCCAGGACAGTTCAGTCCATGGGCCGAGGCTCCAACCATTGAGCCAAACAGTCTGGTGTGAGAATGCCACCTTTTTACCAAAGATAAACATCTACATTTGACATAATCACCCAAAGTCCACAGTTAACCTAGAGACCCTTACGTGTGTGATGAACTAGCCCTGATGAGTATCAGGTTATCCAAGTAAAAAGTGCCTGACAGATAACAGGAAATTCCCCTTCTTTTCCTATTTTGGGACCGTTCTGAATTACTGTTTTCCTGCTCACTATTTTCCTTATTATTTTACTGTTTCTCACTTGATGTTTTAGTTTTCTGTAGAGATAAGAAAACAAAGCTTTATAATAACTTTTAAGGTAGGTTTTAAAGGGACCAGAATTTTCCTGTTTCTCAAAAGTTTTAGACTAAATGTCTATCCATAGAGAAATTAACTAGTCAAACCCCCAAAGCAAGTTATATGCAGCTGTACATTTCTTGCCCGACTTTTAGGCTTAAATGTGTAATACACTCCTTTAAAACTGTGTTTCCACGAGCTTTCCTGAAATTTAGTGGCTTTGGGGGATGTCCTGATTTCTTCTTTTATTAAAAAGACATTATTTTCCATCATGTACTTAAGGGTGGAAAAGAAGAGTGAGGGAATATAAGGAATTTATAATTTCCTGTTATTTTCCATTTACGGTCTATCAAGTATGAACAAATGTATGAAAATGGTGAGTCTGAGGAGCAGAAATGAATCTTTCACAAAGGCATGTGCTCTCCATCAGCCTTGCTTCATCCCTATTGGATGGACCAGCGTTCAGGACTCCTCACGTCCTGCCCACACTACTACAGCCACCTCCACTGCAGCCAGTAAATTCCACAGCAAACCCAGTCAGCTCCTCCCTTTGGCCTAAGGGACTTACTCAAAGAGTAAGGCCAAACACTTCCATTTGGCATAAAGGCATTTCACCATCTGGTCCCCCCTCACACCCCTCCCCCTCCCCCACTCTACCCCACCCCACCCTGCTTGTCCTAGGTGCACATCCTCTGCTGTAAGCACATTGAACTTGTCTCTCTTTCCTGGCAGGCTGGACCTTTTACAGTGCTAGGTCTTTCCTCCTCTCTGCCCAGGAGAGTCTTACACCTTCTTCAGCAGCACCCTCGCCACATGTCATTGAAGCACTTCGTTCATCTTTCAGTTAATTCTGTGTACACAGTGCGGCAAGACTCCTGGCTTACTTGGGCAGGTCTTCAGCATCCCACACGTAGTTTGATTCCACATAGACTTTCCTATAGATCAGTGACTGTGTGTCTAGGTTTCTGTTGTCTGTTACTCATACATACATTGGTGTTTGAATTTATCAGTCTTCTGTGAATTTGGTGGGTGTGAGTCAGATCTTTCCAACTTGAGCTATTCTCTGGGGAATGACCAATTGCCTTTCTGTACCTCAGGGCTGAAGACCAGACCTAGAATGCTGTCAGCCCTCTGATTCTCTGTGATTTTTTAAAAACGTGACAATGATAATAGGTGTCTAAGGTATTTGTCTATGGTGGAGCTATAACATAGAATTGAGAACTGGGGCCAACCTGGAGTTGAAGCCCCTTGACACCGCTGTTCTCAACTCACCCCTGATGTGGGTGCGTCTCTCCTGCTGGACCTGAGGGGATAGTTCCTGGTGGATTTTGCACATGAGGTTTCTCTTTCTGTAAAGGATCAAAGGGCTTTGTTTGGTGGTGCTCTCCCCCGGAGTTGGGGAACAGGATGGTGTGTGGAGACTGAGAGCTAGTTGGAAAAACAGCCTGGGAGCTGAGCTGAGACTGGGTAGTAAAGTCTAATGCAACAAACATGTGTTGAGCTCCTGCTCTGTGCCAGAGGTTGTGGAAGGTGCTGGAGAAGCAGAGGAGTAAGATTTGGCCTCCGCCTAGAGGAACTCGGCCTCCTGGGGGTAGTTCAAAAACAAAACAGTTATAACGCAGTGTCTAGGGTGGAAGGACAGGGGAAAGGTGTAGCACAGTTTCTTTTCATTTCCTCGTTCTTACAGCACCTGCCCCACCACAGGCTAGAAGGGGCTCTTCCAAACACCGCAGGATACTTCCTCCCTGCCACCTCTGCCAGCTGATAAGACAAGTGCTGAATACCTGAGCTCAGGTGGGCCAGCCAGACTCTCTGCCAGGAATTTGAAATAGAGATGCCAGTGGCTGCAGTTGTGTGGAAGTTCTAGTGCTCTGCAGGTGGAACACAGCAAGGTGGTTTGCAGAGAGAAAGATGAGGCCAGGAGAAAGCCCAGGGGAGAGGGAGAGAAGATGGCCGCGTCTGCCTGCTTTCCTGGGTGGCTGGCCTCTTCCTGCATTTTGTGTCCTGAGCTCCTGGTATCTGTGCAGAGTGCCATCTCTCTCTAAGCTATTGAGCAGGTTTGTCCCAGTTGATGAATATTCCTTAAGAAAAATGGTGCAGGAGCTGGTTGCCATTCCAGCCAAGCCTTTCACCAGACAGACACTATTGGCCTTCCTTATTCTTAGATGAGGAAATACTTTTCTGTATACACACACACAGGGATTCATGGCACAAGAATTTTTGCATTTTCTTAATTTTAAAAATCTTTGGTATTAGTTTTCTATAACATTTTCCCAGTTGAGCTATGAGGGCAAAATAAAGGAATTTCTTTTGTGTTGTTTTTTGTTCACAAATTGGCCTAAAGAAGAGACTAAGCCATAAGGAGGCCCAGAACTGGAGGAGGAGATAAGAGGAAAACCAGAGTTGTTAATGAGTAGAGCAGAAAAAATTGGGAAAGTCCTTTGTAGTCAGGCATCTTTCAAATTCTTGGGGGGAAAAAGTATTTTAGGGGAAGAAATTCAGTTCCCCATTAGTATGAGGTCATTACATGAGGCATATCAGACCTCCATCTTTTTATTAGAATCTTGTTATATACACTTTGTACAGTTACCTTTCCCACAAGTATTGCTTTGGTTACAACCCATTAGATCTAGATATGTGGTATTTAATTTTTCACTGCCCACCTGTTACCTAGAAGAAAATATTTAATATTCCAAGTATATAGCTTTTTTTGCCATAGCTTTGTTATTTCTAATTTTATTACATTTTGTTTGAAAAGTACTAGTGCGTACAAGTGACTTTTTTTTCACATTTATTTTTTGCAATTCAGGCCCTAGTTTTGGTTAGTTTTAACAAATCTCTTTATTTGATAAGAGATTATATCCTTATTGTGGGGCATTTAAGAACCCTACTGCTTATCTGTTTCTTCAGTTTTCTGTCATATTTCCTTTGTATGTTCTATTGGTTTATAATTTGGACTAGAAATGTTAATATTTAACATATATGTTCTAAGGTATAGTTAATAATTTTAAACTATTTTTGTATGTGCCTTTTAATCACAATACAGTGTCATTCTTATATAAACACATTCTATTTGTGCTTATTTTCTCCCGCCTAGTTGAGAATTTGGTTGAGATCACATTGTAATAAAAAGGGAGGGAATTCATTCTTCCTTACACTTATGGCAAGTTATGCTGCTATTTTTGGGTATTTTCTTAGTTTCAGGATTTGTTTTTCTATTTTAATGAGGTTTCTATAAAAGAGATTAAACTCAAAAGTTTTATGTACATATACACTGGCTTAAAATCAGTTTTCTTTTTTTTAATACTAGGGGCTCAGTGCATGAAATTTGTGCAAGAGTAGGCCTTCGCAGCCATGGGGCTACCTCGATCCCTCCCTTGCAGTCAGGGCAGCTGCCTGGATCCCGAGGCTGCAGCCCTGGCTTCATCTGGAAGGGGTCATCTGGAAGGACGTCCAGATGGCTGTTTGGTCAATTTGCATATTATGCTTTTATTACTATAGATATATTAATATATCTTGCATTAATATATGCTGTATTCTTATACTTGTGTATATCTGAGTTCTCTGTTATTTCATTGTAGTCTCTTCTAGACTGATATTTTGTCCCTCATTGATAGTGCAGTTGGATCAGTGGCTCCCCAGTCGAGTATAGGATGAAGTTCATCAACCTTGGTCATGCCTGCCTTTGTCTACCTCTGCAGGTTGCCCCTATTGCAAGCATATACATACAAGTTCATATGGCATTTAAAACTTTTGTTAAATGCCTGTCTCTTCTCCTAGGTACAATTATTTAACTCATCTTTAAGTCCTTAGCATATGTCACAGTACACGGAATATAGTAGGTGTGCTATAAATGTTTGCTATGTGGATACTTGTTAAGAGTTATATTGGACTTTTCTTCCCTCAAGCATAAGGGGCAGTCAAAGATAATGGTATACAGATTAACCTGGTAAGATGGAGAAGTGCTTATCCCATTCTCATTTGAGAAAACCACTTAAGTTGGGCGAGTATTTCTTTTCAAATACACATTTTTGGATATTATTTATATGAAAGTTCATTAAAGCTTAGTTTTGCCTCACCTGGATTGTAAACTTTTTGTAGCCAAGGCCATGTCTTAATTTTACTTCTATTTCTTCTTCTTCGTGTCTACATGGGCACTAGGCCCTCTTCACCTGCTGATTATGAATAAAGCAAAGAAATAAACATCCTTCTCCTCTGTTATATGAATTAAAGTCTGGGCATGTCGTCATACTGAGCTTGAAGCTTTTTTAGGGCACAGAGCATATTGTGTTTATCTCTGTATGCACAACATGCAGCACAGTGCCTGAATTTTAGAAGGAATTTGCTAACTCTTAGTAGTTGTGTTGACTAATCTCCTTGGAAGAGAAGTTGATAAACTACAAATGTTAATGAGATCATAACTTGCCTAGATCCATAGGTAACATGGATTTGAACTATTACTGTTATTTGAATGCAAAATTATTCAGTTCTGATGTCCTCAGCTTTTTCTTCACTCAGACTATGCATGTTCCTTTAACTTACTAAGCACAGAACTCTGTTTCCCTTCCCTGCAGGCTGCCATGGCTGCCGTTGACAGCTTCTACCTCTTGTATAGGGAAATTGCCAGGTCGTGTAATTGCTACGTGGAAGCTCTAGCCTTGGTGGGAGCCTGGTATACAGCCAGAAAAAGCATCACCGTCATCTGTGACTTTTACAGCCTGATCAGGCTGCACTTTGTCCCTCGCCTGGTGAGCAGAGCAGATCTGATCAAGCAATATGGAAGATGGGCAGTCGTGAGTGGTAAGAAATGGGATTTCACTCCTTGTCTAATCTAAAATATCCTGTTTGTGTTTTAAGTTGGGTGTATTATTCCAGGAGTTACTACATTTCATGGGAACTTGCTGATTTAAAAAAACAACAACAACAATGTATTCTTATATGATTATGTTCATATTACTGCCATCACCTTGGAAGAATTTTCCTTTGATTTTTGTCTTTATTCTGCTCTCTCTTATTCCTAGTATTGCTCCAGACCCACCTTCCTACTCCTTGCTTTCCTTTTTGCTTCCTGTTACCATGTTCAAAAAAGCTTTCCTTGTTTCATTGTAATTTATCATTTCTCTTGTTTTAAATAGCATTGTAATTTATCATTTCCTGGCACATATTCAAGCCAGATATATGTTTGAAAACAGTTTCCTACTGTGTCTCATCAACTTGGTGAATGTAAAATAACTTTTCATCTACCTGTCAGGATGTCTGGGAGAATGTTTGATACATAATAAGTATTATTCATATTATGACATTGTTCTTGACTGATCGGTATTAGAACTTGCTTTATTTCTAGTGTGGTTCTTTCTCTGATTAAGCAGAAATGCTAAATGGGGTATTTAAAAAAAACCTCACCATGAAATGAGTATGCTCACGTTTCCTGGTTGTATTGTAGGTGCAACAGATGGGATCGGAAGAGCCTACGCAGAAGAGTTAGCAAGCCGTGGTCTCAGTATTATCCTGATTAGTCAGAACCAAGAGAAGTTGCAGATGGTTGCTAAAGACATCGCTGACACTTACAAAGTGGAGACCGATATCATAGTGGCAGACTTCAGCAACGGCCGTGAGATCTACGACCCGATTCGAGAAGCCTTGAAAGACAGAGACATTGGCATCTTGGTAAATAATGTGGCCGTGTTTTATCCCTACCCTCAGTATTTTACTCAGGTCACCGAGGACAAACTCTGGGACATCATAAATGTAAACATTGCTGCGGCTAGTTTGATGGTCCACATAGTGTTACCGGGGATGGTGGAGAGAAAGAAAGGCGCTGTCGTCACTATCTCTTCTGGCTCCTGCTGCAAACCAACCCCCCAGCTGGCTGCCTTTTCTGCTTCAAAGGTAATGTATTCCTGATTAGAAATGAAATCTTAATGCAATAGGACATTTATTACGATGGTTTGGCCCCATCTGTTGAGCTCTTTGTCAGCAACTTATGTTTGCTAATGCTGTGTTTTTCCCCTCTGAAATGATGATGAGCAAGCCTCATTTTCTCCTGAATTTTCTTCCAAGTTCCATAAAATGAAAATCTTCCCCTCTGCTCCATTTTAACAGGCTTATTTAGACCACTTCAGCAGAGCATTACAGTATGAATATGCTTCTAAAGGAATCTTTGTGCAGAGTCTAATCCCATTCTGCATTGCTACCCACATGACTGCCCCTGGCAGTTTTCTGCACAAGTGCTCGTGGTTGGTGCCTTCACCAAAAGTATATGCACATCATGCCGTTTCTACCCTTGGCATTTCGAAAAGGACCACAGGATATTGGTCCCATTCTATTCAGGTAACAATATGCCTTCACTTTTGTAATTAGGTTAATGCAGTCTTAAACCTTCCTAAATGATACATGGGAATCTGACTGAAGTCTAAGGCTGAAAGATGAGAATTGCAAATTCTGATTCTTAAACCTGACACTTTTTTTTTCCTCAGCAAAGAAAGTAAGGGTTTATTTTTAGGAAGTGGCCCACGCCTGAAGACAGGTGACCTAATGCTCAGAGACCTGGCTCCAAACCTGATACTCTTAATGGTTCTGGTTAAATCACTCAATTTTCTTTTGTGGAATTAGAGCATTCAAGTTTAACCTACTTGACACCTAAAAGATGAAATGTGCTCCTTTAATATAAGTAGATGGTAGCAGTATAAAATACTAAGAATTTAGATGGGAATTTAAAAATGCAAACATTCTAGTAATGCTTGAGTGGGTAACTCTAAGTCAAAAGTATGATCAGAAGACATAAAACCACAAAGGTCTATTGTATGTAATATAGTTGTCACATCTCAATCTCAGTATATTTTTGGACTCATTTGTTCAAGAAGTGTAGAATTTTTTTTTTCTTCAGGGATGACAAAGAATTGGGTCATTAGTGTTTTAAAGAATAACTTTGTTAAATATTTACAAATTTGATTCTAAGTATTGAGAACTCATAATGATTTATTATAATAGACACATGTCTCTTTATCTGGCATAATAAGTAGATGTACCCTAATTTAGAATTCTTTTTTTCTTTAATATGTAGAATTTTCTTAAATTATCAACAGATATTTGAGGGACTGTAATAAAAATTATGAATTTTACCAATACCAAATAAATAGATAAACAAATCAAGAGTGAATTTTTACTTTTCTCAAAAGTTTTGGCTATAACTTTTTTTTAAAATAAGAAGCAGTTTTATTTAAGTTGTTATTTCCAGGTCCTTAATTACTGGAGATTAGTAGAGAAACTTAAAATAATTTTCCAAGCCACTGACCATGAAGTTTCCTGAGAAATGAAGATATAATAAAGATGATAGTTAGATGCAGTAGATATTTTGACTGCATTTATAAAACACTAATATTTTAATTGCATTTATACTGTATCACATTGATGGGCTTTTCTGGAGAATGTAGAGGTTTTTTTTTCTATCAAGAAATCCTATTAAGCTAATTTAATTCATAGAATAGTTTTCTATAGAAAACTGTTAACATTTTCCAATTTTTTCTATTTTTATTTTTATTTTACTCAAATTATTTCCAACATCATCAATTTCTTTTCTTTTCTTTCTTTTTTTTTCTTTCAGTTTTACAACAAATATTTGAGTCATTAGTAGCTGTTTTGTCCATAGCAGTTTTCTCTGGTAGCTTCTGCTGTTGTGACTTTTTCTTTTTTTTTCCTCTTAAAAATATTTTTATTGATTTCAGAGAGGAAGGGAGAGGAGAGATAGAAACATCAGTGATGAGAATCATTGATCTGGTGCCTCCTGCACAACCCCTACTGGGGATTGAGTCTGCAACCTGGGCATGTGCCCTTGACCAGAATTGAAACTGGGACCCTTCTGTCCTCAAGTTGACACTCTGTCCATCAAGCCAAACCGGCTAGAGCGTGACTTTGCTTTTATAATTATTTCCTCTGACTTCATTTTTCTCAGATTGCAAAGATCTAAATTTTGTCAAGGTTTCAATTTCTGTCTTTAGTTTATAAAAAACTTACTGTGTGAAGTTGGATATGCTAAACATACTGTGTAAAGTTTTGTTTTGTGCTGATTATTCCAGTTAGTCTTATATGTTATGAATTAAATAAGAATGATGGACTGTCCATATTTTTTGACCAATATTTGGTATTGGTAAAGTTCATTTATTGAACATGATAGGTTGAAGAAAAGGAAGAAACAAAACACATTCTCAGGTTTTTGGCTTCAGAACCTCAGTGGTACCACTTAACTCCGGTAGCATGAGAGGAAGAGATCAGGTTTTAGAGAAACAATAAGAGTTTTGCACATGCTGGATTTGGAAGGTCTGGGAAATAGTTAAGAGAAGTGGAGTTGACAGCTACATAGGTGGAACTCAGGTGAGAGGTTTGTACAGAGGTATAGGCATACTGGGCATCAGTGTGTAGCTGGGTGATATGCTATGGGGTTGGTGATACTATCCAAGGAGAGTGTGGAGAGAAGAAAAGATGGCCTGGTCAGAGACTCAAGGAACTCCAGCATTCCAGGGAAGGTGGACTGGAAGGGCAGCCAGCAAGGTTAGGAGGAGAGGAGGAGAGTGGAATATGGACGCCAGGGGGAGAGAGAGTTTTCAGGAGGAAGGCATAGTCATCAATGTCACGTGGTGCCATCTGGCCCATAGCATAAGGACCAACACATGTCTGTTGGGTTTAGAATCTTGGAAGTCCTCGGTGACATTGATGAAAGCAGTTTTGGAGGCATTTTAGGGAGCAGCTGCATTGCAGTGGGTAAGTGAGTATGGAGAAGATGAAGATATGGAGACGGTGTGCTCAAGATACAAGGCTATCGCCTAGCTGGTGTGGCTCAATGGTTGATCCTCAGTCAGGACACATGCCCAGGTTGTGGGTTCAATCCCCAGTAGGGGCCGGGCAGGAGGCAGCCAATCAATGATTCTTTCTCATCATCAATATTTCTATCTCTATTTCTCTCTAAAATCAATAAACATTTTTTTTGGGGGGGGGAGGGGAATATAAGGCTCTACAGGCAGTGAATTGGATCCAAAGGAAGGAATTCTGTTTGCTATTTAATCTATGCAAATCAGCAGTGACTTGACTGTAATTTAATGCTGGAGGAATGGGGTATGTGGAAAAGAAAGAGCTTAAAGATGGGAAAAAAGGAGGTATGATTCCTGGAAGTGGGGGGATAAGGCTGAAAGCACAAGTAGAGAGGAAGTGATGTGAACTTTGGAAACAACTAGAAAGTGAAGAAGGAGAGAGGCCAGGAGTCCACTTAGCAGTTGAGTAACCCAGTCTGATGGCTCCTGTGAGGTGAGGGTGAGGTGGAGGGAGTGCGAGGTTGAGAGAGTGAGGTTTGAAATGATATTTGTGAAGAAAGGGGAGTGAGGTGCCTGGGGACCCATCAGTGGATGGCTGAGCAGAGAGAAGGCCCGAGTGATGGCCTGAGGATCTAAGGTGCCTTCAGCTGTGCGGCTTTTCCCTCGCAGCACTCAGCACGTTCATATGCACCTATTACGCACCTATTACCCGCCTTGAAGCCACTTCAAAGAGGGCACAAAAGTAATTTTACAGAGAACATTTCTAAGTTTGTGTGAAAAGAGGTTATGTTTGAAAGCTTGCACAGAGGTTAGGGAGCAGGTTTTCTCACTCCTGACCCCTGCCTTTGCCTTCCTTACACAGGTCTTCATTTCCTTACATGCCTGTGAAACAGCATTTCTGAACAGGACCAGTTAGAACTGACTCACAACCATGACATATTTGCTTTCTCTTACATAATGTAGCAATTGCATCTTATGTATTATGCTAGTTATCTTAATAAAGATTTGCAAGCAAAAAGTTAAAAAAAATGATTTAGGCTTTAAAAACAGCCAGAAAGGAGTCAAATGTATTTGTTTTCATTGCTAACTAGTTATTAATGTTGATTGGGAAGCATTTTTTATTTCCAGAAGTGGCATTAGGCAATATTAAATTGTCAACTTTGGAGCACATAGTAAGCTGGACAGAAAATGGAGTGCCTTTTCTTTATAGCTTTCTGTTTGTGATCCTTGACATAAAGGCCAGAAACATGCTGGTGTGTGTGTGGCTGAAAAAACAGTTCATTTGACAACTTGAGCAGTGAGTTTCTTGCCTGTGAACATGGAGACTGTGTTCCAGGGGATAGGAAAGCTCTGGGGAACGGGGAGTAGTGTGGGAGAACCTGAGCTCTCTGACTGGGTTATGGTCTTTTCTGAATTTCTACCTACTTTTGATGTGCTTGTTCACACGTGCGCTGTGTGTTGCTGTTGGGAAGAGAACACATGCATTGAGGGTGGTGGTGGAGCTCAGTGGGAATGAGAAGGCCCCGAGGCTGCATATTGAGACATGGGTGAGGGCCCAGCAGCCAGGCTGACCACTGCATCGGAGGTTAGAGCCCTTTGGGTTTTGTTGCAGAGGAGGACCAGCTCCGCTCTTAGACCTGGACAGACTGGTCAGGAGTCCTGAGCAGGCACAAAGCCTTACAGAACCCGAAATCCACCCCTCCTCTCTTATATACACTCACACTCGCACCCTCCTCCTCTTCACTGTGGCACTCTTCTGCGGCTTGGAGTGCCAGACACTTGGCATTCTTTCCTGTGACCGTTGTTCTCGAAATAGGCGACGAATCAGCCCCTTTAGTCTGTCTGTCAGTACGCAGGGGCTGAAATCCTCCCCTTCTCTTCCATTAGCTCTTTCCACCAAGCTCTTCCCCCCTGCTTCCCAGGATACTAAAACCCTCATTGGGATGAGCTAGACAAGATGAGCCAGTGACAACTCCAAGCGCAGCACCTTAGGAAACTGTCAAAAAACACCGTGATGCTGGTCCCCCTGCAATGGACAGTGGCAAGGGATGGACATTGAAAACAAGCTGATTTTTAGATGCTGATTCTTTCTTTACTGAATGCTGAAAAGAAAAAAAAAAGTACTTTGAAAGGGGATTCAGTTATCTAGTCTGTCTCAAGTGTCTATGTGTTTGCGACACTACTTACTGGATCCTTCTCTGAGATCAAAAAATGACTTCTTTCATCTCTTTGGATTCAGAATCTTTTGCTTTAGGACAGCAGCTCCAAGGAGGAATATCCACGTATTTCCCCCCATGAAATCCTAGCTGTTTAAAGAAGTCCAAAGAGACCTTAGTCCTTCTCCAAGAAGGTTACCCATGACTCCAGGCCAAATACTGGGCTCCTGTCTGTGAGGTGGTGGGTTGGAGCTTCTGTGGAATCTGCTGTGAGCAGCTGTGCTCCTGCAGTTCATCGTACCGAGACCCCCTCCTTATTTGGTGTTCCCTGGAGCTGCAGGGTAACCTAGACTAGAATTTCAGCACTTGC